GGTTCCTTTTGGGGAAAAGGTTTTGGCAGCCTTGATATATGTATATAAATTGAAACAGCTAGACTAGTGCATCCTAAATTTAACATACATTAATTATTTTAATACAATAACCATTTCTGCAGTTTTTGGGGAGGTCACCTCCTAATAAATGTCCTTACAGAAAATCTAACTGCTCATTTTAAATCAATACTTCTTTACTACCTTATACTACCTTTAATACTTGAGTACAATAATATCAGAAACAGTACTTTAAGACTTTTACTCAAGTAATATTCCTTAAAGAGACTTTAACTTTTACCAAAGTAATTTTTTGGTGAGATTCTTGTACTTTTACTCAAGTATCACTTTGTGGTACTTTATACAACACTGCTCACCCCCACCAGAAAAGCCACAAACTGACTGATCCTGTGACGGTCTCACTGAGAGACAACAGCTCTAACCGCTGTTCCACTGTATTACATTTGGGGCTTTACAACGTTTTTTGGAATCGGGTTTAAATGAAAAAGAAATAAAAATGGACCAGAGGTTACACAAGCAGAATGCTGCAGTTCTACGCCCTCACCTGTCGTACTGAGGAGGAGGGCTCAAGCTGCTGGCTCGGACGTCGGGTCCTGCTTCTAAACCCAAAGGACTGCACGGACCCGCAGCGAGGGCTGGTCTGCTCACAGACGTGTCGTACACAAAGTCTCGACAAGACGCCAACTTCGACTCTAAATTCTGACAACAAAAAAAAAAGAAAAAAAATGTTGGTGTAAAGTTGAACGATAAGGTATTCTGCATWAGTTGCAAACTTACTCCAACTTTTCTCAGCAGCTCCCCAACGATGTTCAGTGCAGAAATTCTGGCGGATGTGGTAAGCGGGGTCCCTGTTAGACCATCTCCTAAAATAAAACAGATCAGATTAAGGATCATTAAATAAAATAAAAAAACTATTTACATATCTACATAGATATGTCTTGGTACCTCTTCGGATGCTGGAGGCAGGGGTGAAGTACGAGCTGATGGGTTTGGAAGGTGTGACAGGATTAGATGGGTTCACTGGAGAGGAGCACCCTAAATCTGTGCGATCYGAGTCTTTGCCCAGGCTGCTGGACGGTCGTCTTTCCTTCTGTCGTACTGCCAGCTCCTGGCGAAGGTCTGGCATCAAACAAACAAAAGGTTTTTGGACATCTATGCAATGCAGTCGTTTCTGTTGCTTCATGTAAAACAAAAAAATTTAAGTCCAGCACCATCTACTGGTAAAAATATCAAATGTGATTCTGCAGGAGAACTGTATGTTTAATGAACAGACCTGTGCTGTCMAACTGTTTTCATGTTACTGAGAGTGTTTGTTAGAACTATGCAACACTGCATGGAAATTTATTTAAACCAGAATGAAAATCCASTGATTACACGTCCAGAGCGTGCTCACCTCTCGCTTCATCCTTAAGCCTCTGGACAGACTCGAGCAGGTTCTCCTTCTCGTCCAGCTCGCTCTCCAGAAATGCATTCCTCTCAATGACCTGGTTCATCCGCTGCTCAAAGTCCTCCAGAGACATGATGGTAGCTCTGAGACATGCACAGTGTACATCTATTTTTATTTGTTGCACATATTGGAAAAGAAAATGTGTGTCTCATGCCAAGGTCAAAACAAGCCTAATCCAATTCTCTGCAGGACCTTTTTAGCAAGGTAACTCATCTGTTATACATACTTTCAATACTCTTTTCTCTTTTGTTCAATAACTGCTGACAAGAAAGCAGATAGGTAGGAAACTCAAATAAATCCATGACACACAGACCTCTTGGTCCTCTCTAGGTCATCGTTGGCCTGTTCTAATTCTCKGATATATTTCTGCAGGTGATCTCTGACTGCTGTGGTCTCTGCCAGAGCCTCCTCCAGCGTTGAGATGTGCCTCAAAGCATCAGAATGCTGGGCATCAAATTTCTCCTGCGAACAGAACAGAAAAATGACACGGCTTYACGAGGCRGCTCAATCAATACAGTCRCCATCACGTAGGATTTTGAGTTTGCAAAAACTGGCCGTGTGTGAAAGAGCAGYCTCTAATCTACTAAATGTAACTACCGGTAATAAGCAGAGCGTTAGTGTATAGAGCTGGAAAATAATGAACAGCATGTGTTATACCTTTACACTTTCCAGCTCCATGCGAAGTCGGTTGTTGTCTACCAGCAGCTCTTTGTTTCGGCCTTCACACTGCTTTAGCTCCGTTTCCAGCTCCGCTTCGTAGTCTCGACTCATCTGCTGAAACTCCTGCAGCTCCTCCTGAACCTCCTCAGCCCTGAAAACAAACCCATTACATTAACTTCACACAGGTCAACTTAATATTTATCATGCTCTTTGACATCACCATGRCTAAACAACATTACACAAACGTCATCTGTCAGGAGCTGGAAGCTGCTAAAAAAAGTGGTACTAATTACCTCTGCTGTTGTGTGTGTGCTTGTTCTTTCCAGTATATTAGCTCCTCCTGTAGAGAAGAAAATGTGTGTGCTGTCGRCTCCTCCATGTCTGCAAAAGAGATGCGGATAAAAATTGAGCCTCAAATGTTCCTGTTGTCTTTGCTGGAGGAAGTCCTCACACATCCGTTAGCATAATATGCTAACAAGGGTTGAGCAACAGTRGAAGAAAAACGTCACAATTTTCACATTTTCACCCAGATAAAAGGCCAAAACAACAAACGATATAGGCTTTCATGCTCATTTAAACGCTTAAAAMCTAATCAAACACAGTCGAAGCTGAAAAGTTAGCTTAGCTGTTTAGCTACATTGGCTAATGCAGAGAGCTAACGGGATGAAATCCAAATAAACATCACCGCATCAAATAGACCAGACTTACCTTCTTTTAAAATAAAGTGTTACAACATACGACTAAATCAATATGTTTCGATTTAAGGCTTATTTTGAGTTTTCAGACTTGTACGAACTAATCTCCTGWTACGATAGGATAGGCTAGCACTAGATTCACCAATCAAATTCAAACAAATATTCTTTTCAAAAGTCTATTGGATATTAGATTCGACGTCACAATRTTTTTAACCAGTCATATTAGGGAACGAGCCTAGAGGGCGGGAGTTGTGACACCATCTCCACCAATCATTATGAGGATGCCTGTTGTCGCGACATTTCAGTTTGTTTGCTTTATTTTTACAGACATACATTTTATAAAGACAAACATATTCAATCTTAGTGTAATGACAGTAAATTTAATTTTCGTTTGATTGAATTTGTATGCATATTATCATAATTTATAGGGGGGAAAATGACAGAGAACTCATTGTATTTGCTCTGGATTCTAGGGTTGGGCAATATCGGCAAAAAAATGWATCACGATTAATTGTGGTATTTAGCCGATRACRATTAATTTGACGATTAATCCCCTGGAGTCCCTGGACACCSTCATGTCCTAGTAACATGACYGATTTAGTRGGAAAGATTTGCTCTTCAYACAAATCTGTTCCAAATTGTGTCAAAACTATAGACTTCAGGCTATACATCAAATTTTAAATTGTGTTGATRTATAAATAAATTACAGAACTTTTTTAATGTTCATCATCTTTGAAGCWGAGAGGAGCAGCAAGCGGACTCTGCCTAGTGGCATTAATTGTAKTAATCGTTAAGTGYCAAAAARTAATCAATTAATGTTTTTCTGACGATTAATTGCACACGAAACGGTTATACCCAACCCTACTGGATTCCCTTACTTTTTATGKTTTGGTGGCCTGAGATGACTTGAACTGGAACAAATTTTGTCAAATGAATGGCTGTGATCTACCACATTGTTTACCTATTAAAAACAGCTGAAGTGGCTGAAAAAAGGTCAACAATAAACATTCATGGAAGAGTTATTAGGATCAAGAAGTTTGACTATTTTTATATTTTGACTTGAATTTATGCACTGCTTCGTGAATTCAAGAATGCAGATAAAAATGCTTTGTTTACATTGAGTGCATACCTGCATTTCAGCATTGCATGTCAATATAACTGRGAAAATACAGGAGTAAACGGCACCATTTAAAATAGTATATGTTCAATTTGTTGTATCTTTATTAGCTGTTAGTATTCTTCACTACATATAGTTATTTTAAATAGTTTGTATATTACTACATGATTGTAAGGTTAGTAAAGACATAGTGATCCTTTCTTCGTAGCTACTCAAGAACACACATTTACAAAATATGTCAGCTCTTATTATTACAGACAAAAACAYAAATCTCTTTAACATTGCAAAAGGCTAACCGGTATACAGGGTTGAAAGTGTTGTTTCTATTAATGCTGTCACATGTTATAGGGACCTACAAAACAGAGACAGGACTTGTACTGTGTGCTCAAAATAACCTGTAAAATAATTGGACATCAAAAGCAACTCACWCATCTGTTGTGGAAGAAAAGAAAAGGTAATTCAGGTTTACAATGAAACAACTAATAATGTGCCTGTCAGAAAAATATCAGCTGAACCAGAGTATAGTGGGATTTATGTTTATATTTAATTTTATGTTTTATTTATGGACAAAACTAGGCTGGTAGCACAGATATGATAAATGGCTGGTAGTAGTAGGCGGAACTTTAGCTCGTGTTTTTGTTGTTCCGGGGACCGATAAACAGACAGCACGGTTGTTGCACCCATCTGATTCCCCCKTAAAACCGGAYGTAGAGCACCGTGTRCTCATTACTCCTCTTTAAAATCTGCTTCATTCAGGTCAGAAACTTGTAAATACACCTAATGTTCCGATATTTAAACTAATTTTAAGGTAGTTTTTACGTTTTACGTTTTTATCTGTGAAAACGGGGCTGCGGACATTTCGAATAATTGTGAATAATTATTCAGAATAATAATAAACTTTGATTTTAGTTCATGGTTTTCAAGTGGTGCTTTGTAGTTAAGAATGTTCTATAATAACTTTATTGAAATAAATAATTGTTGTCATTTAATAATGACCTAAAGCTAAGCTAGTTCCTACATTTCACGACATAAATGAAGAACCCATGATGATATCATTAACAACAGTGAAGCMGTGAACCCTGTTGCAACAACAGAAATGATGTATGTGTGAATAATAAGAATGTTTTCCTTGATATACMTGTGTTYCTGTGGTCCCTGCAAATGATCAACAGATGGTGCTGATTAAAGTAGAACCTTCAGAAGAATGGATACCTGGTGTGGACCAGCCAGACCCAGAATCCTTCAAATTAAAAGAGGGAGAGGAGGAACCTTGGACTAGTCTGGAGGGAGACAAAGTTGTGAAAGAGGAGATTGATGTCACCAGGTTTTCAGTCACTGCAGTTCCTTTTAAAAGTGAAGATGATGAAGAGAAGGCTCTGTTCTCACAGCTACATCAGAACCAGGTGGAGGACAGAGATCTTCCAACCTGCAGCTCGGCTGGTCAGATGGAAACAGCAGCTG